TTTTGAAAAAAAAAAAAAAAAAAAAAAAAAAACATTGTATTCTTTTTTTTATTTTAATCAGTCTCGAATTGTTGCAATCCAACGGTTTTGCATTATTGTGATGAAGTTCATGTGGTGTAATGGTTAGAGATCGTTTTGTACTTTTAGGATAACCATGTATACTTAGTGGCTCCAAAAATGATAGCTGAATCAATGGTATATATATATATATATATATGTTTACGTATTCATTCAGCTTGGCTTATTAGTTGAGCGAAGCTGGTGAAGAAGTTAATTAGACCAAATTTTAGCAAAAGAAAGTTGATTAGATGTTTTTTATATAGAACAATTATTTCATCCATTGTATTCAACTATATTCATCGTGAAGAAATGTTACTTCTTTATCAAAGCAGACGTCAAAACTTAAATTATGTGTAGAATATAATCTTTTGTGATTATCTGGAAAATGGAACACTATGGACCCGTAAATTATTTGCTTTAAAGACTAAACAGATCATAATTAATCTGATTGTTGTCCAAAAAACTGAATATTAAACTGGTACAACTACTAAACATGTTTACATAACATGCATAAGTAACATCGATTAGCTGTAAAACTTGTGTTAAGTGGTCTTTAAACAAATCAAGTCTCTTAATTAATTTTTGGATGTATATGCTCTCCTTCTAGATCTGATCACCTTCTGTTTGTACTGTTTATATCATATTCCTGTCACTAGTAAATGTATTAGGCCGTTAGTCCAGGCTTCAACCAAATAGCAAAAAGAAAAACTATAGCTTATAAAGCTGGGCCTCCGGATGACACAAATGCACATATTAAAACTATATGCGTATATATTTTTCCAAACAAAGCGTATCTTTGTATCACATATATTTGCCAAAGTAGCTAGGTGAACTAGATATAATATAATAGCTTAAAAGTTTTAAATTGAAACTGTATGACCTAGTGGAACATTTCAGTAATTAGGGTTTAGGACATAACCATAAGTTTTGGGCCTATATTGAAATGGATAGCCATGATGTAATGTAACATATGATGTCGCTGGTTGATAATAATTATTTCGTCTTATATGTATTATCTCTACCACCTCAACACAATAATAGGTAGTTTGACTTTTATTTATTTTGTCCAGAAAATAATTTTATTTATTTAACTCAAATTTTGTTAGTTTTCACTTAGTCCAATATTTAATTCCTGTTAGGAAAACAAAAACTAAATGTTTACGACATTGTATTTATTTGGTTCAGATGCTCTTGTTTAGAGCATCTCCAAAAGAGATTCTATAACTTCAAATATGAAGTTTTTGTCTCTCCAAAAAAGAACTCTAAAACTTCAAATTTGAAGTTTTGAGTAGTGAAACTTCAAATATAGAGTGTCACTATTCAAAACTTCAAATTTGAAGTTTCATATTTTATTTACATTTTGGTCCTTACAATTACACATCATATTTATAATAATCTTAAATATTTATTATGTATCATTTTAATCCTTAAAATTATTATTTCATAAATAGTTCAAAATTATTTTTATAAATTTAATTTTCTATTTAAAAAACATCAAAATAAACTTTAAAATATTTTAAAACTAGAAGTAGACAACAACAATATTACGTGATATAATGTGGTATTTTGTTTGTACTTTAATATTTACCTATATATTTCTTTTATAGTTTTATATTTTAGTGTAACATTTTATCAAATGATATTTCT